TATGTATGTATGTATGTATGTATGTATATGTATATATATGTATATATATATTCTTATCTTTCGCACATTTGTTGTGTATGCGTGTCTTTCCCTGTAACAGGGAGGGTGCAGAAGATAAGATTCATCGTGGTATGATGCGCAATGTGCTGGTGGTCATGGATTTGTCTCAGGCGATGGCAATCGCAGATATCAAGCCCAGCCGTTTGGAGTGTGCTACTAAGGTACGATTGTACAACACTATGTGTACGAGGATATCAGGCCTATCTCATACCGGAGAGAAGCCTCTGTTTCCTGGACGTCTAATCGTCTTTATAGTTCCGAACTTCCCGATAGTGTGACAATGCCTTTGCTTGTAAAGTACAGTTTTTTAGAGTTTTAACCCCTTTCAGAGATGTACTCTACTTACAAGTAGTGTATTGATATCTTTTACCAATACTGTGTTCGCTGGTACTCTCAGAGTTCTATAATTCTTACCAGTAGTCCATTTTCGATTCTTGTCGTAACTGATTCCAGGTGAACTAATTGCCACTGTACGAACAGAACCCCGATCTCATCCGCATTGTCAGTGTACAAGTATAAGTCCACTTTTACCTCCAACCAAAGTTCTAAGCCATTGACTAATAGTTCGTTTACCTCCAACCAAAATTCTAGGCCATTCACTAATAGTCCACCTATACCTCCGACCAAAATTCTAGGCCATTCACTAAAAGTCCACTCCTATCTTATTCTAACACTGCATTTCCTGGCCGACAACCTGGTTATCTGTTCTCACAGTACATCGAGAAGTTCATCGTCGAGTTCTTCGATCACAATCCCATCTCCCAATTAGGTCTCATTGCAACAAAGGACGGGCGCGCAGACCGCCTGACTGAATTGAGTTGTAAGTGTGGATAGAAACATCTAATCAATTTTAATGTTTGGTTGAAGTCTGTGGTATTTGTTATATATATACTGTATATATACATATATGTGTGTGTGTGTGTGTGCGTGTGTGTGTGTGTGTGTGTGTCGTGCGTGTGTGTGTGGTGTCGTGTGTGTGTGTGTGTGTGT